ATGGGGAGGGGAGGAGGGGGTGAAGGGAGGGCAGGGGTAAGGGGAAAAAATGAGAATCAAGACTTGTCATGTAGAGGTACAAGATCCCAACAATGAATGTAACTGTACTGTATCCCTAAAATGTACCAATAAACTCAATTAAAGCTAAAAAAAAAAAAAATCAAAGGTCATTTGTCAAAATTTGAAAAATCAAATCAAAGGACTGCAACAAAGTTAAAAAACAATCTCCCAGAAAGTAGAAAGAGAGAAAAAAAAACTGGAAAATAGGAGAGAACACATGATAAAATTAGGATTCTTTCAAGAGCCACAAATCAAAACAGAGTTCCAAAAAGAAGGGGAGGAAAATAGCCAGAAAATATAATAAAAAGCTCCAAATATTCTCTGAAATTTTATAACCCTGAAAAACAAAAGCAAAACACACAAAAAAACAGAGTCTTCAGCAAGAAAAAAAAAAATCTAGGGCTGGGGATGTAGCCCTTGTGTAGCATATGTGAGGCCCTGGGTTTGATGGGGAGAGCAGGGGTGTTTGTGTATAGCAACTGTTCTCAAAAGCAATACTGAAGAGAAAAAACAATGACATGGGAACTTCGAGACCCTTCTTAAGTACAACCAATTCATGTGCTTAAGAGCTTAGGAAAAAACAGTGACAGATGCATAGAAAGCTCAGCACAAGCAGGACAGGTAGCGACAATACCAGTAAAAATAAAAAGTTCTGCAAAACAATGCCCCCTCAAGATTTGAATCTAAGTTATGATGTGATTATATCAGAGGAAAAGGGGAAATGAAAGTGGAGCATGCTGTAATATACTAAATGCCTTTCTTCCATAATAGGAACCGTTACAACTGATGAATCAAGGACAGAAGAACAGAGCCAGGATGCAGCTTGGTGGTAGAGAGAATGCTTAAGAGTATGCTGGAGAGAGGAAAAAAGAGGGAGGGAGGCATGAAGAGATAGCAGAGTAGAAACAATACAGAAGAAGCTGTTAAAAACTAAAAGTAGTTTGGGCTGCCTCGCAAGCACAAGGGCCCAAGTTCGATCCCCAGTACCATTAAAAAAAAAAAAAAAAAAATCTGAAAAAAAAATTAAAAGTAGTTTCTCTGAGGACTGAAAGTCAGGGAGAAATGTGATAGGGGACTTTTTAAAATTATAATCCTTTACTATTTTAAAATATAAAAGTACTATTCAAAATAAAAATAATTTGGGCCAGGGGTTTGGCTCAATGGTTTCACTGCCTGCCTCCTAAGCACAAGTGCCCGAAGTTCAATCCCAGATACCAAAAATAAATAAAAAAATAAAAATAATTTATATACTTTGCTTTTAGATATGAATAAATAAATGCTTAAAACAGTAAATACAAAGTTGCAAGTTATTCTGTACAAGTTACATAGTACTCATGCCCTCGTGTACATACAAATTTATATTAGATTTTTTAGCACATTCTATTAAAAAGAACAGACGGACTAGCTACATAAATATGATGAATTTTCCTAACTCATTTTATGCCAAAGACTGCAATATTTTGAATTTTTGCATGAAATTCATGCATGTTACCTAGACAAGCTGAAGAATTTGAACATTTTTATTATGTTCTGCTATTATGGGACTTCTTTAAATGGAACACTATGCAAAAAAGGATTATCTTTATTCAATTGTTGTTAGTCACCTACTATACAGTAACATGTGTAGCAACTCAAAATAAAAGATAAACAAGGTTGTCCCTAGGGTCCACTGCTTTGTGTGTTTCAAAAGCTCACTTTCTTATAATCCCAGAACAGAAAAATATAAGTATTTTCATATGATCCTCACATAATTTCTTAATGTTATGTAGTGACTTTATCAAGAGTATTTCCATACTCTGCATAATTTATTTAGTCATTCACATGTCGGCACCTTCTCTCACCCACATGTGAGATTCTATAGGCCCACATCCAATTTACTGAAATTTCAAGCTCCAAAGCTCCAACACATTTCTACAAAAAAAACTTTTTTTTTTTTAAAAATATGGAACGCTTCACAAATTTGCGTGTCATCCTTGCAAGGGGCCATACTAATCTTCACTGTATCATTCCAATTTTAGCATATGTGCTGCTGAAGCGAGCACTCTACAAACCAAACTTAATAGTCATTCCCCCTGCAGAGCCTGGTGACAAAACAAGGGCTAGGGAGACCATTTTTTTTATTCTAGTGCTAGAATGACTAAATTTTTCATGAAAGAACATCATATCCATGACTTTTACCAGTTTTAAATAACAAAAAAAAATTTAGAAACACCTTAAAGACATGCATAAGAGTGTATGTACATCCTCTGAATACAGTTTTGATGATAAACATGTTATTTTTGGCTACATCGGTATAAATAATCCTACAGAGCTCAACTCACTGCAAGACTTACAAAAATGCCTCCACATTGCCCAAGTCTTTCCCAGTGGTGTTTACTCATACATCACCTCAATGTATTACGCGTGTCAGTCTGCCTCAAGTCGACCTCTTTTAACTAAAATCAAACTTTTATTTCTAACATCTAATAAAGTACCTATGGCATAGAAAACCAAACACTTCACAACTGATAATAAAGCCAAGCATTTAAGCTTTTAGAGGCTTACTGTAATAGAGCCACAAAATCATTATTCCTACAAAAAATGGACAAGTGAATAACATTCATCAAGTATAACCACTGTCTTCAAAGTCAGGAAATGGTTTTAAAAGGTTATGTGTAATAGACGCATTTCTGAGATCCAACCAAGTGCCTGAAAGTTAGACATTATTTCATCTAATGAATGGATGAGAACTAAATCGGTCCTGGCCCCTCTTCCTGTTTTCTTCCCTCCCAGAACCACACCCAAGGAAAAGAGAAACATGGAATGAAAACTGCAGGACAGGTCTCCTCAGCTCTCACTGGACCTTATCACTTAAGAGGAAGGAAGAATTAGGACCAAAGGTCATATCAATGGCTTTATCTTTTTCTTGCAAAAGGACACTGTAAGCTGGGTGGTAGAAACACTGAGACTTCTATTCTTTTTCTACTAACTTGCTGTCAGAAAAGCAGTGCCTGAGGGCCTCATTTTATGTACCCATCAAAGAAGAAAAGTGTGTGGGGGCTGGGGACTTAGCTCAGTGGCACAGCGCCAGCTCAAGCAGCTCAAGGTCCTGAGTGTGATCCCTGGTACCACAATAAATAAATAGAAAGGAAGGAAGGAAGGAAGGAGGGGAGGCAAGGGGAGGGGAGGAGAAGAAGAGTGCTGGGTTATTTTTATAGACCTACCAACTTTAACACTGCGTGACTTTTATCATCTGTTTCAGTAATTAATAAACACATCTTGTCTTTCTAATTTGACTGGCTCTGCAGGCTACAAAGAAAGGAGAGTGCATCTATTAAAAAGTATTACTATCTACTTATATTTGGTGTTACATGAAGTCAGGCAGGGTGTTACCAACTTCTCTGACATCAAATGCACTCATAAATATCATAACCTATCTACCCCCTGTTAAATTTTAAGTGAGTTACTGTGTATTAATCAATTCTCCTCTATGGTGCAATTAGTTCTTTGTACACACTCTTGGCCATTTTCTCCTTTTAGGCAAATTACATATCTGTACAAGTCTGTATAGAAATAACTACCTGGATTATAAATAACTGTTCATGTTTCCCATCTCTCCCAGAAGCCTGGAGAGATCCTTAAAGAAAGACTTGTTTTCATTAATGTTGTATCCCCTATACAGGTAATATATGACCTATTTTAATTGTTCAATAAATGCTAAGTAACTGAACCTGGCAGGACCTCAAAGTTGCCAATTCACATGCCATTTTCCCTTTCTCCTTAGGCAACAGAGCCCCAATTTCATTCAGGGTATCGGCATGCTACTTCATTTCCCAGTGCTCTAGCTTATGGGAAGTGCCAGGCAGTGAAGTTCTGACAAGTGAGATTAGTATAAAGAAATACCGTGTGGGACTTTCTGGAAAGCTCCTTAATAACAAGTACCCTATTTGTTCTTCCCCCTTCCTTTCCTCCTCCCTAAAGACGAGTTCAAATACATAGACTGGGGCCCATGGCCTCTGGAGGCCGAGTTAACTATGAAGCAAACAGCAGAACAGAGGATGAAAAGCATGACAACTTACTTTAAGAAGCCTCCACAACAGCCACAGATAATAGCCTCCTGACTTTTGCAAGAGAACAGAAAGCCTCAAGCATCCTAAGTCACAATCCTCAGATATTTGCTAAAACCAAACCCAATTCCTAACTCATACAATAATGGCCTGTCTCCCGAGAATAGTTTTCCCATGAGTAAATGAAACACATGAAAAGTTTTCAAAGGTTCACCAAAGTAAGCAAACTCTAATCAAAGCATCTATTGGTTACCACATCTTTATTGAAACTATGGAAAGGATTTCTTTGTTTTGCAGGCTGCTAGTGGGAGGTGGTTTGTTTTGCTCAAGTAATCATTTCCCCTAATCAAGCTCAATTCTACAAATATAACTTACAAATATTTAGTCATACAAATATAGTTAATATAAAGATAGTTAATATTTCCTTTCAACTGAAGAAAAGAAAATTTTTTTTTGCTGTCCTAGGGATTCAAACCAGGGCCTTTATAATCAGCTTTATCCCCAACCATCACCCACCCGCCTATTTAAATTTTGAGACAGAGTACTACCATTATGTTACTAATCTTCCTGGGCTGGGCTCAAACTTGGGATTCCTCCTGTCTCAGCCTTCCTGAGGGCTGAAATTACCAGTATGAATCACCATGCCTGTCTGAATGGGCTTTTAATGAATACTTTCACAATCAACATACTCAACAATCCAGCACAGTCCTAATGAAGCTTTTAAAACATTTAAATTTCTCCTAAAATTGACATATTCAGAAGACTAATTAATGAAGATCAGTTAATGGGACCTTCACTGTATTATTAACTGTCATTTATGTTGACACAGTCTTTGTAAAAGAAATTAAGGTTAAAAGACTAAGGAAAACAAGAGTGTTTAGACTTGGTGGCATCTTAAACAAATGAGGCAAGTGATTAGAATAGATTCTGTAATAGCATGTGTGACATTATTCAAGTCAGTACCTTACAGCCTTGAATCTTTTAGAAGGGCTTAAAACTACCCACATACTTATCATATATTTAAGAAAAAAATACTTATAGCCAGGAGATTGTGAGTACAGGTTTACAGTGACACAAAGAAATGTCACAGATCTCTTAACTATTTAAAATGACAATGATGGAACTTCCAGTAAAATAGTGGAGCTGTAAACAGCAGCAAATCAGCCTCTCTCAGATTCAGATCCAGACACTGGAATGTAACAACTTGGGGGTTTTGAAAGAAAAAAGTGGATCCCTGAGACACAGGAAGAACATGAATGGAGAGCTGCAGTTCGCAAAATGGAGACAGACCTCATTGTAGAAAAAGGAGGTGGCAAACTGCACTTTCTCCCTGACTCCCAACTTGAAGCATGAGAGAGGAGTCTCAAATCTATAGAGTCACAGTGAGGGCAGGTGACTCTAGCAGCCTCCAGGGAGCAACACACCAGTAGAATGGAGCAGAGGATGCTGTGAGCTACCACACCTGGAGAGTGACTGGTGAGTGCAAGCATTCCCTGGAAAGGATACTGGCCTAGAGGCCATTTAAGGGGAGGGCCAACTGAACCTAGGACTCAGACCAGCTGTGGGTTGGCTTCATCTCAGAGCTCCTAGTGACTGGGTGAGGCACAACCACAGGAGACATACAGGGTCAGGGCACAATGGTCAGGCCAGCAAAAGACACCCAGAGTGTTGTAGGCTGAACAATTTTATCAAACCCCAGCCCCACAACCAGAGGCCAGGATCAGGCTGAACTTCTGTGGAGTTGAAAACACCAGAATTGTCACCCTGCCCTAACCCTACTGCAGGCTTGCTGGGATCATCCAGCATGGATCTGGGGTCTATCTGTCTTCCTTGTCTACCAGTGACAGAGTCAGACCCTGAACTAGACACTACCACCAAACTATAGACCCCATAAGATAACCACAGGCTTCAAATCACACAGAAATCTTTTTTTTCTTTTTTTTTTAAATTTGCTTTCTGTTTTGTGATTGTTTTTGTTTGCATGAGTGGGAACACTACTTTTGGTTCTTTTTGTTTAGTTCTTATTTTGTTTTTTTCCTTCTTTCCCAAAGCCTGGGTACTCTTCCTTTGTCCTTCAGCCCTGCTTCTAATCACTTTCTCTTATTTATTTTTTCTTCTTATTCCTTTTAAATTTCCTCACCTGAGGCTAAATTTGCTCTACTGAGGGGATATTTACTGTATATAGTTTTCTGATTTTGTTATAGAACTATATACATTTTGATATATAACTATAAATCTTATACTATGCCCACAGGTGGCAAATTAACAGTTAACACTGAAAAAGGCTGGGGTTAATCCTGAGACTAAAATGTTTCTCAGCCTGATCTTGCTCTGTGATACATTTAATATCTATGTATATCATATCTGTATATATCTGAATCAAGTTGTGGGCAGAGAGGTTGAGATATTTACAGAAAACAATTTTTATGATTAAATTTCACATTTTAACATAAAAAAAAAAAGTTAACACAGTTTGTCAACTCTCTAGACTGTGCTTGACGCTACTGTTGTCGCTGATTATACTACTTCAGCCTGGGTGACACACGGGTGATCAGCTGTTCTCCCTTGTATGCCAATACTGAGATTGTCTAGGGATCATAAACAATAGCATAGTCCAGTACCAAAGAACTGGGTGCTACGCCAAATAGTCAACAACATCTAATCCCTAATAAATTGAAAAGGCAGGATCTTGGGAACAGACTCCAAAACAAGCTTCACCTAAAAGACATCTCTGAAAAGTAATCATTTCTTATGGAGATCTCAAAACTAGCAATAAAGCTACCTACCATAAGCAATTTACAAGCAGCATCAATACAGAAAATAAACTGAAAGTGAGAAGACATAGAAGCGAGATGCAGCTCTAGACCTCCAGCTCACCCAAGGCAAATGCAGGGGGCATTGAGGTGGAAGAAATCAAAAGCCACCCAGATGAATTTTCTGAAGCAGTATCAGCAGAAGTAACAAAGCAGATGAATGAGCTTCTAGGAAAAAAAAAAATACAATGATTTTACAGGTAACTGAAGAGATAATTATCATAATGAAGGACACAGTAAATCTACAGTAGATGCAGATTTTTAAAAATAGGAGAGCATAGGAAAGTGATGGGAACTGATGAATGCCAACATAGAAAAGAACTGGAGATTAAAAATTCTAAGAGCAGCTGGGCATGGTGGCACATGCCTGTAATTCCAGCACTTAAGAGGCTGAGGCCAGAGGATTGCTGTGAGTACGAGACCAGCATGGACTACATAGCGAGTTCCAGGTCAGTCTCAACTACATAGTGTGACCTTGTCTCAAATTAAAAAAAAAAAAAATCCATGAGCGGCATAAACCAATGGAAGGGTCAGGGATTTAGCTCAGTGGCACTGCACCTGCCTTGCAAGCAACTGAAAGCTTTCACTCTAAAATCAAGAACAAGACAAGGATATCCACTATCACCTCTCCTATTAGCTAGAGTGATTAGACAAGAGAAAGAAATCAAAGGAACAAGGTTAGGAAAGGAAGAAGTTATCATTTTTTTTGATAGCACAGAAGATCTCAAAACTTCCACCAAAAGACTCCAGATTCAGTGCTCTAGCAGGATACAAAGTCAACACTCAAAAATCTATAGCATTCCTGTACACGAATGACAAACTCACTGACACAGAATTAGAGAAACAATGCCTTTCACAATAGCATCATGAAAAATGAAATCCTTAGGAATCAATATCAATCTAACAAAGGAAGTTAAAGACCTTTGCATTGAAAATAATAGTACTTTGAAAAAGGAGATCTAAGAGGCTACCACAGAATGGAATGATATCCCTTGTTCTTCTGTAGGAAGAACCAACACAGTGAAAATGGCCATACTTCCAAAACTATTATACAGATTTAATGCAATCTTAATCAAAATACTAACAGCATACCTCACAGAACTAGAGAAAACAACACTAAAATTCATTTGGAACCAGAACAGACCTAGACTAGCAAAAGCAATTCTGGGCAATAAAGGCAAGGCAGGAAGCATTACAATGTCTAACTTAAAATTATAGTACAAAACTACCATCATAAAAACAGCGTGGAACTGGCAAAAAACACAGACTTGAGGATCAATGGAACACAACAGAAGATACAGAAACAACTCCAAACACACTTAGACACTTTATCTTTGACAAAGGAACTAAATACCTTCACTGAAAGAAAACTACCCTTTTAATAAACAGTGCTCAGAAAACTGACTTTCCACATACTGAAGATTAAATCTAGTCTCATTATCTCTAACCAATCACTAAACTAAAATTGAAATGAATCAAAGATCTAAATATAAAAGCAGAAACAATCTGCTAGAAGACTGAATAGGTAAAACTCTTGAAGACAGGTATAAGTAAAGACTCTATGAACAAAACCCCAATCAGGAAATACAACAAAGAATCAACAACTGGGGTCACATCATATTAAAAACCTTTTGTGGGCCAGGGATTTAGCTCAGTGGTGCAGGCGCTTGCCTGGCAAGCACAAGGTCCTGAGTTTGATCCCCAGTACAAAAAAAATACCAGTGAAGAGACAGCCCACAGTATGGGAAAAATAATTTTTTCCAAGGTACTCATAAGACAAAGGACTAATATCTTGAATATATAAAGAACTCAAGAAAATCAGACCCTCCAAATTCAAAGACCCAATCCAAAAATGGAATGAAATGAATATATACTTCTCAGATGAGGAAATGAAATATCATCAGCAAATTAATTTTTGAAAAAAATGTTCAACATTCCTGATTGTTCAAGAAATTCAAATTAAAACAACACTGAGATGCCATTCATTCCAGAAAGAATGGCTATCATCAAGAAATCAACCAGTAACAAATGCTGGTTAGGCTGTGGGAAAAAGGAACCCTTCTCCTCTGTTGGTGGGAGAATAAATTGGTATAATTAATGCAGAAATCAATATGGAGATTCTTAAAAACATCTAAAACTAGAGTTAAAAGTATCATATCACAGCGATATATGCACACCCATGTTTACAGTGGCACAGTTTAAAATAGCTGAATCTTGGAAACAGCCCAGTTGCCCATCAACAGATGAATGAAGAAAATATGGTTTTTATATATAATGGAGTACTACTTTTCTTAGAATAAACTTGAGACTTCTTTATGTAAAAGGATGCACCTTGAGGCCATACTTTTGTTGTTGTTTTTTGGTATTAGGGACTGAACTCGGGACCTTATGCTTTCAAGGCAGGTGGTGGAACTACTGAGCTAAATCCCCAGCCCTCAAGGCCATACTTTTAAATGAAATGAATCAGACATATGTTTAAATATCACACTGTTTCTCTTGTCTGAGAAACTAAAAGGGTAAATAAGGACAAAAGTGGATGACAGATATTGGGAAGCAGGAAGAAAATTTTCAAATGGGAAGGGGAACAAGGAGCGGGGGAAGGGAAGGAAAGGAAGTGGAAAGAAAAGAAAATGGAAAGAAATGGAAACAAGGCTTTTGTATATAAGGAAGGGAAGAAGGGTTGAACGAGGCAAGGGAAATGGGGAAAAACAGAAGCAAGATATTATGTACAAGTACAAATTCTTTACAACAAATGTGATCATTATGTTTATCAAAAGTGTACCAATAAAATTAATTTTTTAAAAGGGTGTAGAGGGTATAGAAGCTGACAATCTCACTGGGCCCTTTAAAGTGCTACCCATATTAAATAATCCTTTGGGACAGACTGCAGGAACATTGCCATGGAGAAGGAGTAGCATTCCTCCACATTAAACCCACTTCCATCATTTCACTATCATTAAACCCTGAGTACAGCCTACTGGACTGTAACCTTATGTGAGTTTAATGAAGATTCTACTTCTAAACATTCTGAGAAGAAAAGAGGAGCTACTGAATTCCAGTTTTATAAAATTTCTCCTTTAGCCCTTTAAGATAATCATGCAATTATTAAGAATATTCTATAACTGAAAATATTGTTTTCTTATAATTAAAAATATTAAGTGTTTTCTACACATAGCTGGAAAAATATTTTAGGAATAATGGGCATACACAATAGTATAGATCATCAAACTAAAAAAGTTATTATTTTGTGGTTAATTTCTCTTAAATACAATAGGGAAACTGAAAAAGCAGAAGTCACTCAACTTATGTATTTTGCATCAAACCCCATCACCTAAAATATGTGACAGACCTGCTTTGCATGATAAAATAATCTACTAGAACACTTTGTAGAAAATATGGAGTTACTTGGAGGCGAAACAAGAGTTTAAAAGATTTGGTTTACTGTGACTCTAAGAAGCAAAAGCAAATCAAGACAAAAGAGGAAGCAGTCTCACCTGTACCATTGAGTGTTGTGTTTTTATTGGTGTACAGCCTGATCATGTGTCCTATTGTCTTCACATTTTCTCTCAACATTATACCTCGGGCTTGTACCATAAAGAGATATGTGTTGGCTAGAAAATAAAAAAGAGAATGTTATGACAAAATGTTTTTCTTATTTAATAAAATAAAATTCAGAATTAGTGAAGTGCATAATAAACTCATTCAATTGTTACACTGATGAGGAAAAGAAATGTAAGATGAGTTTCTACTTTAAAAACCTTCAAAATAAACTAATTTTTAAAACAAAATGAAAAAAATTAAAAGTGCAATATCCATCTATCAAATAGGATGAGCCAAAATCAGCAAACTGAAATACCATAATGAATCCTTTATCCTTAAGTGATTTTCTACTATAAAATGTATGTACTTAGTCACTTCAAAAGATACTTTAACACAAGTACTCAAGATTATATTTATAAAAATAATTTTCTCTAATTTTTTCATTAATTCACTCAACCCCAAACTTCATAAAGGCAGGGATACCTTATTTAACAGTAAATATACCACAAATCACCATAATCTAGTATGGATACAGATCTGATAGCTGATCCTATAAACTCTCAATGTGTTGAGGGGAAAGAGTGATCTAAAATCAGAATCTATTTTGGTAATTTCTCTCAAAGTGTTAATTACTTGAACTTTGGTACTCCCTTTCCATCACAAGCCTACCTACCATGATGGTAAAAATAGGCAACATCAAAAATCAAGGTGCATGTTAAGGTTGGTCAATTTAATTCTTTGTGCTATATACTTCAAAAAGCAGGATGGTGCTTTCCTCCCAGGAGAGAAACTGGTCAATTGACAAAGACTACAAAAGCCCCTGGGGCTGCATGCCAGGTCTCCTGGGGCAGGCAGGGGACTGAAGTCTGAAGACTGGGTCTCCTGCTCTGCCTGGGCAGTGCGTGCATGGGGACAGCTTCGCTGGATCCCAGTTTCCGGGGTGTTCTCTTGGCACCAGGTGTTCTCTAAAGCCTCTGCCACTGGAAATTCTCTAATCACAAAGCCAGAAAATCAGAAATCAAAATACATGAGGCAGAAGCTCCTTCTCTCAACTAAGCCAAAATGGCAAAGCTCAGTCCACTGCTGTCAATGTTCCAAGTAGCTGCCACTTAGCACAATAATGACACTCTTGAAAAGTAAACACTGAGTTAAAAATGAAGAAAGCAACTCACTTTCTGGGCCCTGCTCTATCTCAAGATGGCAGAGTTAAGTGAAAATTTATATTTACCACCTCCTTTGCCAATTTTTATGTAAATTTGAAATTGCTCGAAGTACATATGAATACAGTGTATATAAAACAGTATGGAAGCAGAATAGTTTTTTTTTCACCTTCAATGGATAAAAAAGAAATTAAAAAGAAAAACAGGTTCTACCTAAACTTTACCTTAACCATTTTTAAGATTGTGACTACATGCTTTCTAGAAAGCAATACTATAATTAGACTTAATTTGTTTAGGTTTGAATTTATTATACTGAGTTACAATACCACAAGATTTATTATATTTCTGCACTTGAGTGGACCTTAAAAGGATAAAGAAAAGAGACAAAGAAAACTAAGATATAGCCAGGCAAAAATGTGAAAAATGTCTGATAAAAGCCAAATTAATATTAACATTTCTACCTAAACCAAGATCAACAGAAATGAGGAAAAACATCAAATAATTATTAATGCCAACTGGTTGATAGAACCTTGGATATTTTTTCATCAAAAAGTTACGTACAGAATTTAACTACAATATAAATTTCTATGTCAGACTATACAAAGGGCTATCATAGAGTAGAACTCAGCCAAGATTTTAAAAACACAGACTAGTGAAAATGATACTGGCCTGAGAAAGGAAATGTTAGATAAGAGCATATGTACAAAATTATGTGTCTTAGAAATATGATTTCACAAAAAGTATACAGCTTATAGCTATAGGTTACAAGTGTTAAGAAAAAGATTACTAATGTTACCTGTAACACAAAAGCGAATTATTTATCAAGAGTTCAATTACTTTTCATTAGATGGATGGAGAAAAAATTAAAGAAAAGTCATAGACACCAAGCTCTTCAAATGGAAAAATCTATTAGTTCATTTAAAATCACTTACAGCTAATTGAGTTACATTCCTTAGGTTAATGGTCCTCATGGACTTAATCCCTAAAGATAAAGACTCATTCCGGAATAAAATTGAGTTTAACTACATTGTAATTGTTTAAGAATGGTTCTGACTGTCTGATTCCCAACTATCATACGATATTCAACTAAATATTTGCTACTTATTATCAAATGTAATATCTTATTAGCAAAACTTCAAGAGGAAGTCTTTGCCCGAAATTCCCATTTCTGTTCACAGGAAACTACTATTCAGAAAAAAACAGGAGGAATAGTGGAGAGGGTAAAGAGAGGACAGGGGAATGGGGAAAAAATAAGAAAAGATACATCATGTAAAGGTACAAGATCCCAATGATGAATGTAACTGTATTGTATAGCTAAAATGTACCAATAAATTTAATGAAAGAAAAGAAAACAAATAGGAAAATCTTTTTCAGCTTTGCTCTTGGGTCTTGAGGCAATTAAGAAATATACTAAAAACACCACCAGTTAATTAAAACCATGATGTGTGTCCTTCTATTTAGCTCATTTTCTATTTGTCTCTTCATAATGAGACACAAATATGACTTTTTTACCGATTATGCTTTCAGGTGGGCCGGTAGGTGGGGGCTACAACACAGGCAGTGGCGGGGGGGCTCTTTAAAAGTCAGTAGTAGCAGGGCTGGGGATTTAGCTCAGTGGTTCTGCCACCTGCCTTGCAATCACAAAGACCTGAGTTCGATCCCCGGTGCAAAAAAAAAAAAAAAAAAAAAAAAAAGTCAATAGTTTAAAACTTTCTAGGCATCTTACCAGTGTTTTTGTTACGAAATTTAAGAAACATGCCTCATCCTCCACTGAAGAAAATAAAGGAATGCATTTTCTATAAAACTGTCCCCTTTTCAATATCCAGCTGTGGTCAGTGAAAGCACTGTTGAGTATGTGCAGAGACCTAGAAATGTTTCCTGGACTTTGAAGGACTCCAACACAACACCCCTCCTATGCTGAGATCCATTCTAATTGCTGTGACACACTGCCACAATTTCCAGATCTTTTCACAAAAGGAAGTCAAGAGAGCTCTTCTGAAGGAAGATTATGTTGGTTAGCCAATCTGGTGTACACCTACACTAAATGTAGGACTGGAACTAAGAAAGGGGCTAGAAATCACAATAGTAGGAAAGAGTCATATAAAAGTAAAAGATGGAACTAGGGTGGTGAATTACCAGGAAAAAACTTAAGGAGATAAGAAAGTAAAGACCAAGGTACACAGACTGCAAATAAGAGGCACAAAGATTAATGATTCCAAGATTAATCAATCTCAGCTTGAATGCAGTGAAAAAGTTAATGGACGAGAGAGAGAGAGAGAGAGAGAGAGAGGAGAGAGAGAGAGAGAGAGAGAGAGACTGAGAGGGAGGGAGGGAGGATAAGGAAGGAGACACCCTTTCAGGCCATGCCAGTGATCACCTCCTCCAACCAGGCGTCCCCTCCCAACGTAACATTTCATCAGTGGTGTAATCCATTGATGAGTATCACACCCTCAGGATCCAATCCAAATGCCCCTATGAGCACGAGACTGGTAGGATATCCAAACCACAACAGTACTAATAATATTATTCCCATTTTGTAGATACAGAAATAATTAACTTGCCAAATGCCACATAGTTATTACCAAGGAGTGGTGAAGGCTGGCTACAGTGAACTATCTTCACCATCATACCTTTTACCCTCTGACTGCTATTAGGAGATCAATGTCAGCCTTCAAGAAACCAATTTCTGCTGGGGATTTAGCTCAGTGGTTCCGGCACCTTCCTTGTAAGCACAAGGACCTGAGTTCGATTCCTGGTACAAAAAAATGAAACCAATTTCTTCTGGAAACAAAAGAAAAATAAAGACTTCAAGAGAAAGTGACAAAATTGAAACATCAATTTTCAGAAAAAGAAAGTCACAAACAATAAAGTCCAGGAAAGGTTCTTTGGAAGAGAACTACTGAACATGACTACATCCTGAGTGTAAAAAGCCAGAGGAATGAGTAAATAATGTACTAGTGCTAAAAGTACTAATAATAATTTTAGTGCTAAAAGAAGAGTAAGGCCGGAATTTAGCTCAGTGGTGCCACTGCCTGCCTCACAAGCACAAGGTCCGAAGTTCGATCCCCAGTACCAAAAAAAAAAGAACAGTAAGGAGGGAAAAGATTTCCACTGATAGGATGAGTTAAGGAAAAGCTCTGAGGAGCACAGATGCAAAGCCTCCCCAGGGAACAACCCAACTCAAGGAGGAGTTTGGTAGTAATGGAAAATGAGCAAAATAGGTCCCCAATCGGGTGGCTTGCAAAACAGAAGAGTAAAAGCACTGAAGGCCACTGTGAGGATAAGATGTAACATGAAAGGTGAGACACAGTGACATGTGACCACTAAGAAGGCCATGGTGTGAGGAGGTGTGGGAAGGGCAGACCACAGCTACACAGACACCCAGCACACACAGGAACAGCGTAGGTGGAAGGCACAGACCAGACTTCCTGTTGGTCACTGATGGGAACAGCAGTGGCGAACAAAGTGAAGTTGGAACACACTGAACCAAGTAAGAATTGCAGAAATCTTCCAGAGATGCAGGCAGATATAGGAAAGTATAGGTTGACTTGGGCTAGGAATGCTGCTCAGTGGCACGGCACCTGCCTGGCAAGCACAAGGTCCTGAGTTCAATCCCCAGCACAAAAAACAAAGTATAGGTTGCTAAAGAAAAGGAAATGAGTTAACATTCACTGAGTACCAACAATGGTCATACATTGTGCTAGAGACTACACACAAATATATGACAATATACACATAGCTGTAATTCATTTAGTTCTTATAATCACCTATTGTGGGTTGAAAGGATGGCCCCGACACATGTGTCCACATCCTAGTTCCCAGAACCATGAAGCAACTTACGCAGCTAGAAGTCAAAACTCAGGACTCAGACACAGGTCTGAATGAACCTGAGAGATAGCGATTTGGAGGAA